CAACGCCGCCAACGCCTCCTCTAACGACGCGTATTTCTTCGGGGATTTCGCTTTCTTCGCCGGTTTCTCCACTTCCTCAGCGGGTTTCTCGACCTCAGCGGCACTCTCGCGAGAACTGGATCTCGACTCGGATCGGGATCTCGACCTTTTCCCACTCGGTTTGACTGTAGCCTTCGTAGCCTCTGTAATCTCGTCGCCAACCTTTATGAAGTCGTCGCTATCACTGGAACTACCCCTTGGTTTCGATGGCTTGGATTTTTTAGCTGGTTCCACGTATTCAGGGTCAGTGTCTTCACCGGATCTGTATCTGGAGTAGTCGGACATAGAGCTGAGTACGGCGCTGGCTTTGGAGCTCGAGGTGGAACTGGAACTGGGGCTTGACCCTGACCTGGCTCTCTTACTGGCCTTTTTCTTAACCTCAGCCTCAGTAGTCTCACTCTCACCCACTTTAGGTCCAAACGGGTAGACGAGTTCCGGTTCCCGGATGGAGCCCTCACTGGAGTCATCGCTGGATTCAATGAATTCCTTGCTTTTATAGATTTTCGTTGTCGGTAAAAACGACATTTCCCTCGGCTTCCGACTCTTACTCTCACCCTCACCCTTACCCTTACTTTTACTCGAACGGAAACCAGGACCACGTGTCCACTTAGACATATCTGTTGTTCTGGATGTATGGCTGAAAGTTGTTGTGTCGATGGTTTGATAGTTTTGTAGCAAATTTGTGGTGTTTTCATAAATTTATTCAAAAATGAGTGATTTTGAGGAATGTTTTGTTCAAAATTTTTTGTTAAATTCTGAGTTTTGGCTAAAATATTTGTTTACAAGTATGTAGTGTAGTGTATACAAGTTTATAAGATTTAGTGACTAACTTGAAATTCACTTTATATGAGAAATTATAAAAACAATTAATCAGAAACTGTAAATGAACAATTAGGTGAGTGTTAATTAGTGTTTTTTACTTACTTATTTATTAGTAGTTTATAAATTATACAGTACTAGACTCATGTAACATGTCATGTTTATAATTATCGCGAGCATTTTTGTGACTAATAATTAAAGTGAGTGAGTTAGCTATTGTTGCCCTATAAAAAAGTTGCTTTACTAATAATAAAAAGAATTGAAATAAAATAATTTATTATTTAAAATTAGCCACCAAAAAATCTTTTTGTATTTATAGATTTTAGTGATTTTGTTATTTATATCAGAATTCATTTATTAAATACTTATTTAAAAATTAGAAATGAGACTAACATTCATTATTTTGTTAATATCTTCAACACTTCCTAATATAAAGAGTCGGGACCAGGGATTGTGTCCATTCATACAAACCAATGGCAATTATAACGGTCTTCAAATGTACCGGCGCTGGGAGTTTACCGCTCCGGGATCTGACGAACTGAAAGGATTTATCGGTATTATGTATACCAAACAAATTTACTGGCACTTCAAGCTTGAGAAACAGACCGGTGGATCATTTGTGGTGAAAGTGGATCCACTGGATGTCCATCAAATGAATGCCAATTTGATCAACAGATTTTCAATTTATGGCAAATACGATGGAAAACTGAAATTTACCGCCAGTTTTGATATGGAATACGTGGTAAGGAATGCCCTAATTGACACAATTACTTATGTATGGTATGAATAGGACACACAAAACGGTACACATCTGCATATTACTAACGACGCCTCCCTGGAGCTAAGGGTTTATTACCCGGACTTTCAATACAACGCAACTGATATCATATTCTGTCCCTCAGGCCTTCACCCGAATAATTATGTTATGGTTTTAGACAAACATACCGGCGCTGTGCAGACATATAAAGTTGATATCCCATCGATGACTTATTTAGTGTTCAGTCGTGTCAATGACAGCGAGTGTAAGAATTCTAACATAAGTTGTAATAAACCGCAATTCTTGGACACAATTCCCGATTCTTTACGCAAACAATTGGAGGCAATCGTGGATTATAGTGAACCTGGAGTTTCCGGACACTTGTTGTGGTTTAACATCAACGGGCGTCCTATGTATTGCTTCACTCACGATAACCACCCATTGTCAGCTCAGGTAGTATACGATTATTGATAATTAGACTTTAATTAAATTAAATTAAATTTGAAGTGTAATTCAGAGGCAACTCTCACTCCGTTTGCAAACGAATGCTTCACTTCTGGTCAGACAATTGATTATACAAAACGTCAGACATCTGGTGATACAAACGACCCGACAGTTAATCCCAATCCAAGTAGTGAACCTAATAAACCCAATGAACCCACAATTAAATCCAAACCAAATGTGGGTTTAACTGTAAAACCAATACCTACTAAACCGGTGAAAGAAATTGCTTCCCAAGCAGTCATACATAAAATCACTTTCTCATTGAATTTATTACTATTTTTATTATTAGTTATATTGGTTTGAATAAATTGAAGACAAAATTTGTTTTCTTAATAAAATTTAAAATATTTTTAATGTAAATGTTTATAAAGTGTCGAGTTATGAATACAGTATATAAATAATGGTCTCATTTAATGTTAAATTCAGTACAAGTGTTGTTTCAATGTTTGCGTTTAATTAGTCTTTTACTGGGCTGTGGCTGTTGTTTAGCTAAACATATATTTATGAGAATAATTAAGAAATTAGAAAATTGTCTATAAATCTCACGAATAAACTCATGTTACCCTTTGGTGGTATTGACATATAGAAAGTGATCCCGTATATAATCAAGGCGATAATCGATACAATGATTACTATAATAATCACATAAAATCCCGGTGTAGTGAAGAATAATTTTGCGTCACCTTCACTGGCTTCAGATGTCTGTGCGCTGTGATCGGCATCTGTGGTCATATGAGGTGCTGTATCGACTGTAGTAGTGAATTGAGTGGTTATCTTATTTGGAGTCTCATCTGAACTCTTGTGCGGGGGATTTGAAGGTTTTGGCACCACTTTAGTTGTACTTTTTATATCATAGCAGTGAAAAAACTCCTTGATGCTACCCTGTTTTACGTCAAAATTATTTTTTGCAGAGAGAGAGAGAGAGAGAGAGAGAGAGAGAGAGAGAGATAATGCAAACCTCGTAATGATAGGGCATATTTCGGGTGAACCTCAGTATATCAGAACCGTCTGTTTTGATGCCATACTGAGTGGAATCCAATTCAAACATCCCTTTGAGGCCCAGTAGGGACTTCATCTGCCACTGATCCCACTGTCCGGTGTTCTCGTTCAGCCTTCGTGACCATAGGGTGTAGTTATCCATACCGTTCTCAATCTCCACAAACATCCGGTTATCATATGTGCCAAACGCTCCGCTGTAATACCACTGTTCGGGTGATTTAAGTTTGGGGAATATATCTGTCTCTGTAATATCGTCACCACTCGGCGGCCAATTGAACGGCATTTCCGACGCTCTGAATATCTCGCGAATATCGTCCGGACTTTCCTGTTTGAACCACTTGTAGGCCATGTTGTGACCGGAACGGGAGATACCGTGCATTAGGATTAAGTTATTCAGCATTTTGCTCGCATTGCAAAACGGCTTGTGATTATCCGTACAGTTCTTCATAGTAAATGTCATCGTAAATGCCAGGCTATTAAAGTGTGATTCCCAGAACAAACCTATCGGATAATGGGTTAAGAATTGGATTTTTAGTTAATTTTTAATTATGAGGTCTCTCTCTCTCTCTCTCTCTCTCTCTCTCTCTCTATCTATCTATCTATCTATCTCTCTCTCTCTCTCTCTACCGTTTGCCTCATCCATGGTATGGTTGACGCGATTGAATCGCCAATACTTGTCATTAAACGTATCGTTAGTGATATGATGGGAGATAACGATCAGCCAATCGCCTAAATTGAATGCAGAATAACCCGATTCTGGTGTCGATTCCGTACAGAAATCGTCGCTAAAAGCAGAGCTAATTATAATTAACAAAACTATGTATTGAATCATATTTCTAGACATAAAATGTTGATTTGGTTTTTGGGAAACTCAATGAATTCATAGAATTCTGATTTTGTTTGAATTTCACGAGACATTTAAATAAAATAAAATTTAATAAATCAATGACTAGTACAAAAATAATTTGTAGTTTTCCAATTACTTGCTTATTAAAAATAGATGTTTAAATGTAGTAAATAAACGAGCGATTAATTAATAAAAATTTTAATTAAAAACTAAAACACGAAATAAGAGAATGTTTAGAAAATAAATTAGAAATTAAATTCATAATTAATTAAGTTTTATATTACAATTTTATTTGAATGCAAAATCGAAATATAAATTTATTCTAAATCAACATATAATTAGTAATCAATCCATGAGTGGACAGTCGTATAATACGAGTGCCTGTCCCCTAAACCAGACTAAACGATTGGGAAGTGCCGAGAAAGTCATGCTTGCGATGGAGGCCCACTTGGCGCCGGTAGACCCACTCGAACTGACCGGTGCTCTTATAGCGACCATATGGTGATCCCTGGCCCAGACCTCGCGGGAAGTCGTGCGACTCGAACACCACTCGCCACCGGTTGGCACC